ATTTTTTATTAACAACTTTTTTTTTCAAGTAACAATATGCTAGAGTTTTTAGAAGTTTCTGAAGTCAGTTGTAAAGCCATCATTCTTTTAGAAATTATTACTTCTAAGAATCAGTCTAGTATTTTAGAACAGATGTTTTGTCAAACAAATCACAACTGTATGGAAAATTAAAGCATTTAATCTGGCAATCCCTTTAAGCTTTAATCCCCTGCAAGTAGTGGGTGTGACTAACATGATTATGCTGACAATTTTATCCCTTATTTTATTAATTGTCAATATGACCTTTATATTTAAAAAAAAAAAGAAGAAGAAGAAAATACTACTCCTTATATTTTCCACTCTTATGCTGTTTCTAAGGTGCTAGTTTCTCTAAGGAAGTATGTAAGGGTAATGAACTCCCATTTACAAGCCACAAAAAGTGGAAAATTCCCTTTTCATTTTGAAGCAAGACATCAGGAAATTCAGAAACACTTCCTTCCTATTTTGTAAGCTGTATAGGAATATATTTGGCTATTAAATCATTTTATGAGATGGTTTGTCTGTGGCAGATGTGAGAAGTTATTGAAGTAACACTGCCTCAGGTAACCACAGGCAGACACAGTTATGTCTGTGCTTAGTCTACAGCCTCATTTTTTGAGAATTTCCTTGGTACTGGCCACAGGGCAAATAACCTGAACAATATTTTCTTCACAGTATTTTTAAACTTATAAGTCAGTCACAGTATGTTTTGTATATAAACATACAAAGCTCACTAGCAGCCAGGAGAAAGACAAGACCCAGACAATCTCAGGATTGAGCAGAAGTCTCTTTCCAGATCTAGAAGACAATGGTTTGGGTCTTTCTCAGCTGCTCCTCATCCCTCCCCACCACAGATGTGGCTGTGTTCAGCAGAGCCTGAAGAGTCCCCTTTGTAAAGTGTTATCAAATTTCAACCCTTAAAGACTGCAGCATCTGGGCATCTGCTTGGCCTGAACGATGACAGAGAAAGGACATAGTGAGTAGCTTTGCTCTCGAAGACTGAGGGCAGACAGTGAATGGTGTGTTTCTCTAAGGAGGGTGGATGTGCTCTACCTGCTTTCCGTGCTGCTTGAACACACACCTCCTCCAGTTTAAAAACAATGGTGTGGTACTACCAAGCCTAGGATGGTTTGGGTTGGAAGGGACTTTCAAGAGTTGTCTAGTCCAACCCGCTTGCGGTGAGCAGGGACATCTTCAGCTAGAGCAGGTTGCTCAGAGCCCCATCCAACCTCACCTGGAATGTTTCCAGGGATGGGGTTTCACATCTCTCTGGGCAATTTGGGTCATTGTTTCTCCACCCTCATTGTAAAAAAATTTCTTCCTTGCAACTATGTTCTTTTAATTTAAAACCATTATCCCTTGACCTATCACTACAGGTCATGCTGAGAGGTAGTAATGGTGCTGTAGTCTAAATTTCCAATCTGCAAGTCATCTATGCCCAGTATCTCAACCCTGGTAGTTCAGTAGGCTTCAAAGAGACTTGTAGCTTCTATGGCTGTGTGCCTTCCTTATGTGCCTGGACTAGCATTTTTTGTGTGGCATCTACCCCATCTGACAGTAACTGTTTCAATTATGACCCTGTTGGTGACTTCCGTGATAATAATCTGGAGTGGAAGGTGAGTTGGGTTGTGTGAAAGAAATGAAAATAGTTTCTTTTTGAAAAAAATAAAGTTAGCTAACAGGTTTAGGTCTGCAAGGTGTTTTGTACAGCTAAGAAAAAGATCTGTGCACAGCCTGCATCACACAGAACAGTATGGATTTTAATCAAAGGCACTAATTAAGATGTCATTAACTTCAGTGGAACGGAAGAATTGAAGAAACTGGAAGCTTGCCTTCATTGCTTGAGCTCAGATCAGATTCCAGTAGTTAAGGTTCATATAAGGGCTAGAAGAAGAATTTACACACACACATAAAAAAAATTTTAAGAAGTTTCTATAGATTTATGTTTGAAAAAATACACACATTTTGCAGAACCATGTGGAATTTTTTTTTTATTTTTTTATTTTTTTTTTTTTAGTTTAATCACTCCACCCCTTCAGGTAATCCACGTGAGGAAGTGGGAATTGATATGCTAAATTATTCTTTGTACCATGGTCCCGGATGTCAGTTTTATTAATCTTTGTTTTCTTCCCAATTATTTTATCCATAGCCCATGTATTGTAGCATATCTGACAGACATTCTTTATAGAACAAATGGATTTCACTGTTTGAACAGGTGTGACACTTTAAAGAAGTACTTGCAGTAGTAGTATTTAATGTGAACAATACAAATAAAGCTCAGGTGACTGTAGCAAATTAAGGAAAATTACTGAGTACAGCAGATGGAATAAAATAATGGAACTATCTCCTAAAGCATTGTGTATTTGGAGGTGCTAAAGTGCATCCCCTCCCAGTCAATAGAGATGCAATCTTTATCACTATGGTAGGCAGTTTATTATGCTTTCTGATGGTGATAACCTTGGTCTCATCAAAGTTGTCACAAGCACTTCAGATAAAAAACCACCCTTGCCCTTATCTCAGAACAGGGAAGGATATGAGAGACCTTATCAGGAGCAACTTCCTCTAGTGCTGCCCGCTATACAAATAAAGAACAAATGCAGCTATGTTAGAAGGGAGTTATAATCTGATATTAAAATGCTGGCAACAGCACATAGCTGCAGAAATACAGCAGAAAACAATGAAATGTTGAGTTACACTGTGGAGGGCAACCTCAACCCAGCACAAGAAGAATGGTGCTCAGTATGAAAGACATCACAGCAAGGGCAAGGATGAGGAAGGGAACTGCAAAAATAGGATGAGGAGATGTTCAGAGGCTTTATGCCTTCTGAAAGCCAACAGGTAGCATGGAAGGAAGCAAGTCAGGCTGTGTTTAAACAGAGCAGAGCTGAGCATTGAGGACCTGTCAAAGCTGAGTTTGTGATATTACCTTATAAATTAACAGAGGTAAAAACTGCTGCAAAAAGAAAAGATGAGCTGAATGATACTTCACTGGAACAAAAAAGCAAACCCATGCCACACACCTCTTCAAACTAAAGGGGGAAGATGTTCATGTCTGCAGCCATTCTGCAAGTAGGCTACTCTTGAGCAACACATGAGATGATGTGTGTGCACAATAACGCCTGATGCCACAGCCCTTGGGCCTCAGTCAGCTAATGCATTATAAATTTTGTTTAACAAATGGAATTTTAGGAGCCACTTGGAAGTAAATGTCACTGTGCTGCCCAGTGTGAGGGCCCTTCTGTGCACAGCTATGAAGTGAGTTGCTGGTTTGTGTCTCTACCCCAGAATATTTATTCTGCTCTTTGGACAGAGCCAGAAAAGACAATTGCAAAGCCACCATCCCTAAACTTGTGCTTTCATTTTGAGACCACAACATCAGCACTGCAGCTTGCTAATTAGACTACATGTATTTTGGCAAAGTCAAAGTGCTACAAAAGACCAGGACTTTTATTTTCAATCTTTCCTTGCACTGGAGGCAAGCAAAAAAAAACCACAGTGCAGTTGGATTGGTTCATTTTCAGTCACATGTTCTTTAAGAAAAGGTCTTTCTTCTAAAATGTGCAGCCCCATAGCTGATGTCATTTATCAGCAATAAATATTGACAAGGGAACACGTATATATATACACGAACCTAGAGTGAGGAGAGCCTCTAACTCCTGACACTCTTCCTAAGATACAGAAGGATTCTGACTGGACAAAGGTAATGTATGCAGAATTTGATTTCAGTATTAGAGATTTTATCCATAGAGACTCTTGGTCAGTATCTTTTGGTCACTGTGCTACAGGAGCTAAAGTAGTTAACAGCTAAGTTGCAACAAGAGTGATAATTAAAAGAAAATATCTGCTTGTAATGATCCCAGAGGAAGAATTTAAAAATCAGTCATATCTTCTGTTTAAAAAGCACACCTTCCACTTGGCTGGGTGAGAAATGGCTTCAGTGAAGTCTAATTGTCTTGTTTCTTTAGATCAAAATGTTACACTTTGACTCAATTTATTCTTCAAATGTGAACATAATTAATCCATTTTGCAGAGGGTGGTCAATCACAGAAAATGCTTTTTAGTGTCATTTGAATTATTGTTATGTTGAGTTTATGTTATTTGAGTATTGGGATATGCAAGTACAGCTGAACTCAGAATTTTGCCATCTAGAAATTTGGACTATCTGTCCAAGCTTTCAGGTGCATACAGTATTAAAATGTCAGTTTACATCTCAGAGTATAGAACTGTAGAATTGTAAAGGTTGGAAAAGACCTCTAAGATAATCAAGTCCAACCAACACCCAACAATACCATGACCACTAAACCATGTCCCCAAATGAAGTAAACTGATTGCATTTTCTTAATGCAGAGTGAAAATTTTTTTACAAAATGCAAGTTAAAGACATAAACTCAGAGAAGGTAGAGAAAACTTATATCAAAGTAATTGAAGAGACAAACTTTCAGATATCTTATACCCTGAAAGTTTATTGTCTGGCAGGAAAAATATAGGTGAGTTTCAGACAGTTTGTGAGACCACTGTTGATGTGTCCAGTGCTCTACTCCAAAAGACCAGCTCCCAATATGGATGATGCAGGACACTGATGTGACCCTACTGAACAATTTAATGGGCTTTTTTTAATGCAAGCTGTCAAAGATGAAGGAAATGCTGCAAATTCAAGATATCTTGAATGAAGAAGTAAAGAGGGGGTTGATCCATCTGTTAGAAGAAGCACACAACTTCATGCTATTTACAGTCCCTGCTTCAATGAGAGGTGGTTGTAGAAGATAGTGATGTCCTGCACCATCATTTGCACAGTTTCAACACATCCAGTTGTATTAGGTATCAACTGAAATACTCTTCTGCCTGGCAGCCTTGACTTTGCAACAGTTTTGTGTCTTGCTCACATATCATATTACAAAATTATTAAGTTTATAAAGTACAAAGTTTGTGCAAGAAAGATTAACAGATTTTGGTGTTTAATTTTTATTTTTCTTTCTTTGTAGAAATGGGTCTGCTGACTGCAGTCATCTTCCTGGCTGCTTTGCTATACCGGTCTAATGGAGAGGTAGGAGCTTTCACCTATGCAAAAGAGCCATACCTGAGCACATTATATAGACAGCTGACATACTCTGATCCAGTGATCTCCAGAGTGTACAATTTAGGGTTGAAATTATTGTTAAAATGCTAATATAATATAGTAAAGATGCATGTTCATTTTTCACTGTTTTTGGTATTAAATATTTCTCCTGCTTGTCAAAATATTCTTCTCTTATTAAGAACAATTTTGAAAATATATTTTAGGAAAAAAAAAATGAAGCTAATCTAAAATACTTTAGCTGAGTATCAGAAATCTATTCTTCACTTCTTAGAAAGGATGAATCTTTTAAGGTGTAGATATCTACCATGTAGACACCTGAATGTGAGCTATTTATCCTGATCTACATATTAGTGAATGAAAATGAATAAGCATTTCAGGGATACAAATCTTCTTTTTCTTCAATAAATCTCAAATGAACTACGTCCCAAGTTGCTTGTTTCCTTTACCTGAGTATAGCAGCAGCCTAAAATAACTGGGTGAAGGGTTATTTCTACAACTGTAAATGTCTTAAGTTAAACAAGCTGTACAACACCTCTTGGGATAAGTTTGTTGCCCAAACTGAAGTGTTTTAGTGCAGCTTGAGGCTCTCCAGAGTATCTGAGCCATTCATGGATGGCTGTAACTTTCTGGAGCAGCAGTCTAAGGCTAGGTGGGGGTCTCTGGGCATTTCAAATAGCATTAGGTGATATTTTAAGCCACTGACTATAGCCTTTAAAACCTCTAATTGAGCTCTGAAGGCAAAGCAGTGGGATTTATTCATATTACTTGGACATTTCTGAATTTAGTCTCTCTCATTTTATGCTTTTCTCACTGATGATAAAGGCAAACTAAAATTACTTTTAGATGTTTATATGTATGGTATAGATATCTAAAATTAAATAAGATGACTCTGTTCCTAGAAAAGAGACCATCACACCAATGGCAGAACTCATCTCACTGACTTAAACATCAAAGCTTTAGCTGGCCAGATCTCTGTCAGGAAAGATGTACTTGTATATAATGGTTCTTGCAGTTCTAAAAAGGAGTTCAGATTTTGTGGGATGAGCAACTTCTGCCCTGTCCAGTAATGAGGAAGAGAGTGAAGGTGTCTAGCTTAGATTGATATGTGTCATTTTTAGACTTTAAGTGGGAAGAATCTTCTCCTGAGGGATGCTTTAGTCTGAAAACTCCAACATAAGCATTTCAACTCTTTTCTCTGCAAGGAGTCGTGACCTGACATCACTATGTAGGAGATAATCTAAATCATTCTTTGCTTTCATGACCTTAGGTATTTCAGAATTTGGTCTGCAAACAGTCCTAAGCTCTGATCCAGTTTCAAATACTCCCAAAGCTTGCAAGTGACAAGAGCTTAGGACTTTTTTAGTGCACACAAGAGGTCATGGCCAATCTTGAGATTTGGTTCCAGAGCTTGAAATTTGGTTCCAGAGCTGTTTTCTCCTTGTTTGATGTGGAGACATCTGAAGGTAGAATTCCTATCTACAAATTTCCTTTAGGATCATGTCTCCTAATGAAAAGTACACTTCAAATCAAGGAAGGAAGAAAATAAAAATCAGCCACTAAATGAACAATAAAAGAAAGTCGTGAATTTCCAGGAAGCTTTACTTTGATAACAAGCTCATAATTTATCTTGCTTATTAAACTTCTGGTAACTGGAATCTTCATTGCTATTGTTTTCCAGGGTTTTCAGTATAATCTAATAGACATTTCTTCCTTTCTTCTTTTTAAGATTCAAAATCAAAAACAGATCCTTGAGGAACACAATGAAATCCGGAGATCTGTAGTTCCCACGGCCAGGAACATGCTGAAGATGGTAAGCTATGCATTGCAACTAGCCAGCCTTCCACATAATTAGCAGGAGATTGTAGACTTCTAAACAACCCACATTCAGTGAATAGAGAGAGTAGGAAAGGAAGTGATTTGATACTGAGATAAAGAAATCAGAATTTTATCCCTTTGCTTCTGCAGGTGTCATGCTTATTTTTCCACAGCTTGATGCTGCAAGCACTTGTAAAATCATTGTAAAAGTCTCAGGATGGGCCACAAGTACTATTTGAAACCTTTCTCCTAACCAACATGTCTTAGTTTCTCCACTTAGAAAAGCTCAATTAAGTAACATGGGAACTGTTCCATGTCTATGGTTATTTGTCTACAGGAACCATGAACACAGGTTTGCCCAAACACATGAATTTATTGCTTTTAAACCTATAGAAATATAGTCTGAGCAGTGAATCACAAGTTCTTCCCTTATGTATGTTCATTACAACAAACAGGAACTGCAAGACTTCAGGGAGAGCATTTTAACCAGGATAAGGTACAAAAAATGGTGATGGCTTTGAGATGATAGAATCATAGAATGTTTTGGGTTGGAATTGACATTTAAAGGTCATCTAGCCCAGTTATGGATAACAGTCTTTAGTCTAGGTAAGCAGCTCCTTTAGAGAAGAGAAGCACTTGCCCTGGATGAAGGCAAGAGTATGTAAAGCAAAAGTGGAGCAGGAGCACAAGCAGCAGCATGCTTCTGAATCACACCTTATGAAGGGGGGCAGAAAGGACCTGTACCTGCATAGCCATTTGTCCTCAGGTGAGCTTGCTTTGCCCACCACTGCTCCCATCCCTGCCACGCCCAATAGTCTTTGTTATTCCTGCCCCATGAGCAGTTGTTCAGGCTTTATGGTTAAGCCTACACTGTGAGGCTTGCAAACATTCCCCAGGCTCAAAGTCCAGCTGGTTTCTAGCACTACATCTCACCTGCACCTGGGCTGGAAGTCAGGTTTACACCATCTAGTGCACTGCACCCTGCAAAGTCCACTCAGACACAAAGCCAAACTAAAGCAACAGGATGTTATAAATTTCCCATTAATCATGACTACCTGGAGATCAGGACTGTGGAACTGTGCAGAGTAACCTGCTCTGTAACCTTTAAGAGCTGAAGAAAGACAGTGCCCATACCCCAGCAGTGTAAACTGGCACAAATCCTCTGCTTTCCATGGAGGACCATGGGAGCATTCAGTGCACAATGCCCAAGTCACTCCCCACCTTTTCTTTTCTTCTCATTGACTGCACTAACCTATCTGTGACCTGGATACTTCTTCCTTTGTGTCTTTCAGGTGTGGTATGAGAAAGCTGCCAAAAATGCTCAGAAATGGGCAAATAAGTGTGAGATGAGAATCAGCCCAAGAGATATGAGAGTCATTAATGGTACATGACAAACACGGCGCCTAAGCTGATGGCTGAGGGACTATTTGTGGATGACCTGTGTGCATGTGAAGTAGAAATCAGGATAACTTTTAATCTGCTGTAGAACGTCTTTTTAAGATTATTAAACACAAGAACTACCTTTATCAGATAAATACCCTGAAGAATGAATTGATGGAATTTGAGACAGAGGGATGCTATGGACTTGCCCTATATTTAAATTTTCCTTGAAGTGTCTGCTTTTGGCTCCTGCTGGAGACAGGATGGCACAGTAGATGACTGTTGAAATGACTAAGTACAGACATATTTGTGTAACATTTTGTAGTCAGATAAGTATCTGTGGCTGAAAGCTCACCAAAATCAGAGCAACTTTTCCTGTGGCTTTCGTAGTATCAGGTGTACTGTTCTCTTCCTAAAATCACAGGACAAATAGGTTGCCATCGTAGAGGTTTTTTTAGGATGTAGTTTCAACCCCTCTGTTCTACCTCCCACCCTACAGCTTGTTTCACTCCTAAGTAATAAAACAGACTTCCCTCTACTTCAGGTGTCACCTGCGGAGAGAATATCTTACTGTCATCTAACCCAAAAACATGGGCTGAAGCAATTCAAGTCTGGTACAGTCAGTCCTCCAATTTTAAGTATGGATATGGATCAACTGCTAAAAATTCCAATATTGAGAACTATACTCAGGTACGGACAATTGAAAAAAAACTGCAATGATACTCTAGAATTACAGAAATACACTTAAGGGAGATGGAAAATATCGATCATCAGAAAAAAAAATATAACTCTCATCAAAATATTATCTGTCATTCACCCTCTAATCCAAAGATGAACAATAAATTGAAATCCTTTTAAATCTAATTCTGAGGCAGTGGAACCAGTATTTTGGAAGAGCTGCCCAGAAGAGAAATATTATTCTGTAAAAAAAAAAAATATCATTTTCTTTACTTTATAAACTAATATTTTCTATATAAGGATTGAAATACCTGATTAAGAGATATCAAAGCAAAATATCTATTATGAAAATATTTTAATTTAAACTTTAGTGTCCTGCCAGGAACTGTGCTGAAAAAAAATCTGAAAACTGAAGAACTTGGTGAAATCATTTTTCTACTTATTCTTTCTGACAGCTAAACGGTAAACTTAAAAGCTCAATAGAAACAAAAAGAATTAAACAAAAAACTTTCTTCTGGTTATTTGATGAGCTCTTTGATGAGAACTCAACAAAACATGACTCTGAAATGATGTGTTTGTGTTTTTTATCCTACAGCTAATCTGGTACAACAGTTACCAGGTTGGATGTGCAGTTGCCTACTGTCCTAGGAACCAGTTCAACTACTTCTATGTCTGCCAATACTGTCCCTCGTAAGTGCTACCTCTTTACTCATTTGAGATGCAATAATCATGGATATATTTTCAAAAGCTCCTGCAGTCTATTGCTCATGTGTAGGATAAAATTAATACCATTTATTTCAACCATTTTTAATTCTAAAAACACCTGCGTGAATTATGGACTTAACATCAGGTTAAATAGTCATTTTTATTTTCTTTCACAAAGAAATAGATATTAGGGAAATTTCAGCCAATGAACAAAGAAAAGTCTGTCCCTGTCAGAATCAGGCATTGTGACCAAATCATCCTATAATTGACCACAAACAAGAAATTCAGTGAAAGCCAACAGCAAATTAATATATACAGAGGTTAAGAGCACATCTGAAACAGCTGCTAGTCAGAAGGCATCTGTGAAGTTTATTTCTTTATAAACCTCAATCACTTAAAAGCCATTAGAAAAGCAGAACTAACAGGATTTTTTTTTAACTGATAATGCTATATAAATTCACCTAATCAGTGAATTTCTTTCTCTGTATCTTATTGTCCTTCTTATTTAAAAACAAATTTCCTGTATTCTATGAATATCTGAAACTAAAGCATGACTCTCTACAAAGATACTTTTATCCAAAAACTTCTGGATATCTTTCACTGGGATAAGCAATATAAACTCCTGTTAATGGCTCAGAGTTGCATTTTGATCTTGTTATGTATTTCTTTCAAATTTCAGAGGAAATAATGCAATGCAAATAGCTACACCTTACAAAAGTGGACCAAAATGTGCAGACTGCCCTGGCCACTGTGACAGAGGGCTTTGCAGTAAGTAAACGTATTCTCCTCCTCACAACAAGCATTCCATTACCTCACATAAAAATGTCCCTTTGTGGCATTTTATTTTTGCATAGTTACTTCTTGCTAATTTGGGCAAAAGAACCTAGAATTGCCCTGTTAATTTAAAAATAAATAAATAAACCAGTAGTTGTTAAATAGTCCACCAGAACAGGCACAATGTTCTGCAGAGGGGTTGGACCAGATGAGCTCCAGAGGTCCCTTCCAACCTCAACCATCCTGTGATAAAGGGTAAATTCTGTTGCTGTTGAGCAATATGTATCAACATATTGTCAATCGTCTGCTGCCCTCTCCTGGAAAGCTCATGACAAAATGTCTTGATGTACATCTCTAAGGGCACCAAACAGCTTGTCAGGATTCATACATCTGTAGGTAGGTGAAGACCTGCACAGGTTCTGCAGACTCCCATGTGGAGCAAGTCCAAAGCACACCAATAGATGGGAACTGTGAGATACCATCTTTCTGCCTGCATTCCCTTTTCTATATTATTTGAGCAATTAATGAAAGTACAAAGACTATGCAAACACAAAAATTTTGCATTCTTGGAAAATGCAGAAGTATCACATCAGGACTTAGCTTTCAATTAATATTTCTTTCTTTTTTTTTTCTTTTTTCTCTCTCTTGCATTGTAGCCAATCCTTGCAAGTACCAAGATCTCTATGCTAACTGCATGAACATGAAAACCTTGTTAAGCTGTAACCATCCACTGGTGAAGGAGAAGTGCCCTGCTACCTGTAGATGCCCCACTCAAATCCGATAATGTCCTAGATGTCATATAGTTGCTGTGAGACATACCTATTAGGAAAGAATGAAGTGTATTCACTCTTCAGTGCATCAGCTCAGATTGACCTATAGGTAACATTTTTTTCTGAAATCCCACAATTACTTCCATCCTAAATAAGTCTAGTAGCTCAAAATAACCTCTGATGTTATTTTAGACTTTGTAGAAATCACGCTTCATCTACTGATGTGTTACTTTGTGGTTTTCTTTGCAGTGGATCTTCCACTGATTCATTTCTTTTTCATGGGAAACACCCTTAAAATGCTTTAGTCTTTTTGCAAAATATGTTAAGTGCCACTTAACTTTTTTCTGTTACTTTTTTGGGTTTTTTTTTTTGATTGTCAATGGAATGTATTCCTGCTAAATAAATTCATGATTCACCACTGGTTCACAAACAGAGCTTTTCATTGAAGTTGTTTATAGTTCAATATTTTTTTTTTTTTTCATCTGGACGATTCTGTATGGATATTTCAAGGCTCTTGGATACTTCACGTGAGTGAGGATGAGACAGGAAAAGAAAGACAAAGCAAAAAGTGATTTTTTCTTTGTACAGCCAAAGTAACAGGCACACGTTGCATCTGCCAACTTTTATTCTGTGTCCTAAAACCTCCTGGTACATCTGAGTATGCAGGTGAGAAATGATAATTTCTTTCACAAGGCACTAAGAGTGGAGGAATATGAGGCTTTTTAGAAGCATTTGTACAAAGAAAGAGGTAGATATTTTCTTTCCCATCCTCTCTGGGAAGAAGTCAGTCCCACACTTGCTTGGAAATCTTATTGCAGAATGCAGGCAAAAAAAATGGTGTTACAAAAAACTCCAAACAAACTAATAAAAAAATAGAAAAAATAAATCAGCAGATAGATAAATAGATAGATAGATAAATAAATAAATGGATAGAAAGATAAATAAATAAATAAATGGAAGCCCTAGACCCAAGTCCCCAAAAATCCCCTATCAAAATATGTGATTTTCTCCAGAAGTTTCTAGGAACCATCTTAATGCCAGTTCCTAGCTGTGCAGACCTTTAGGATGTCTCCAAGAAGATTAAAGCTCAGCTGAAGGCCTTAGATGTGCCTTCTTCTACTCCTGTTTACGGGCAGGCCACCAGCTCCTGCCTGGAAGAGGTTTTGCTGGATCTGCTACATGTGGTCACAGTGCCGTGTCTGTTTGTGTCGTGCTTCTAAGGATGAGTTTCTTTGAGTAAAGTTTTCCATTTAATATCTTTCCAAGCTCTTTACAATGCAGGGCATGACTTCAAAGGACCGTGACTCTATATTGACCTAGAACTGAGGACTTAGATTTGTTGTCAGTGTCATAAGTTACCTGGAGAAACTTTCTGACCTTTTAAGTGAGAGGTATTATCACAATTATGCCTCAATATTATTACATTGGAAAAACTGCTTCAGAGCCATCTTACAGGTATGGTGTTTTTTTACATTATAGTTTTTGCTGATCTTTGTATTTCAAACTTTAAACAAAAGGTAGATAGAGAGGAAATAGAAGCTCTTTGCTTACAGCTTATAAAATTTGCTAGATGTTAAAAAATGAGGGAACATCTGGAACAGCATCTTCTCAGCAAACAGAGAAGCTCCTTCCTGCCTCCTGACACTTCGCCCAACTGATACATCCAGGAACCTCCATCTGCTCCTCAACATGGATGCTGTCTGCCATATATTGAGTCGCATACACCAGTCCTGAGCAGGACTGACCTCACTTACTGCCTTCCCTTCCCATTTGAAATCAGTAAAAATCATTTTCTCCATGGGCTGCAATTCTGCCTAAAAACACAAGAGGGTGAACCATGCCCAGGTATTCAACTGCATCAGTTTTACATTTTGCTACTTGTATGAAGGGCTCCTCACTTTAACAAGAAATTAAAGTTCTGGGCTTCCCCTGGCCTGGTTTTTACACTTGCTTGAACAGAATTTCTTAGCTAATACTGGATTAATAAATAAAAACCACATATAGAAACAGTTTGGTAGTGGTTTCTTCCTCTCCGTTGTTTCATCCTGCCTCTGTTGGCTAAATTCTGCAATATTAAAGCAATTTGTACCATCAAATTAAGGCAATTTATGGTTTCCAGTATATCAATGACTAATTCTGATAGCCTTGCTTTTCTACCTGCCTGAAGCTCAATTTCAATATTGTGACTACATGGCACTATTCAAGGCTCCTACAGCATTATTTGTAGAAAATGTGATTCAAACTAAAACTGAGTGAAAATTTCCTAAGAAACCTATGTTTTCCTTTGAAAATAGTATTCTTTAAATGACCAGTTCTCTTACAGGATTATACATGACTTTGGAAAAACTCTCAGGTGTCTTTTTGGATATTTTCCAAGATTTAACTTCTATTTACAAGGAGATGGATGTTGAAACTCCTTCCATGCACACTCTTACCTCCCTCTCTCTCTAAGCCAATGAATATTTAAAGAAGAATGATTTTATTATCAGAGATTTCTGAGATCTCCCCCCACAAAGAGTCAGCTTTTGTGCTCTGTGTATCCAGCTGTGGTGTTTGAACATGGCAGCAGCATGAGCTGGAAGAAATGTTCTGCATCATGAAGTGCCACCCTGGAGCACAATGCATCTTGCTGGGCTTACTGCAGGGCATCCAGGAATTAACCTTCTTCTTTTCATAGGGGATTTCCAAAGATTCTGTTTCCCTATTGAGATGAAATAGAAGAAATAGCAGGTGAGATGAAATGCTACCTAGAGGATCCTGTTTCTCAAAACAGACTTCAAAGACAGGATCGTTCCACTTAGTTTTCATGTTCCAGGGAAGAATGAGATGCTTTTAAATATGCGTTTCCCATGTACAGATAAGGTAAAAATAATATGACATTCACTGAGCTCCATCATGTCACATCACACTTTTTGCCATTTTCTGGACTTTATAGAATCGTAGAATGATTCTTAAATTGGAAGTGACCTTAAATATCACCTAGTTTCAACCCTCCTGCCATGGACACAGATGCACAAACATTTTTTATGCTGCTGCCCTGACAGTTGTTTCCTTTGTGGTACTAACTTTTGTTTTTTGGTATGATCTGAAGTTACAGCTACAATTGTGTTACTTTTCAGGTGTAGTTCAGCCAAGAAGCTAGTAACACCAAGAATTTCTTAAGGTTTCTGGTCTGCTTCCACATGCACTCACAAGAAGCACATATGCTGAGAGACGATAACAGCAGCTACTATGGTACAAGTCTAAGTCTTATCTGTGGAGAATGATGTAAGAGCTCTTCAGCAGTTAACTTACAAGATAAGGGCTTTAAACAAGAATTTTGAACAAACCTTGTGAAGTAACTTTAACTGTCTTACTGCTTGTGAAGAAAGAACATTTTTGATATTTAAAATCTGCCAGCTGCAATAGTCACATTATCTGCATTGGCTGTCAGAGAATAAGCCTCTGGGATAAGCAAAAGGGAAAGTCTTTCTCTTTGAGTATCATAAAGTCTTCCAGAGAGTCATGGGTCTAAGTCTTCCTTATTTTCCTCCATCTATCAGTATGAGAGAGAAAAACTCTTCCCGAATCTTGCCTTACTCGTGTCCTTAACATATCACACCTACAATAACAACACAACTGCTTGAGCAGCTAAAGCAATACTTTATACTAAGTGGAAAGCAAAGGTTGGAAACCTTGACATGCCATTAGAAATTTGTGTTGTCAGAATATCCAAGTAATGCTCAAGAAACAAAACTGCAGCAAGATGCTTGAGCAAAACCAAGCAGCAAAGAGCTATCAGAACAGAGACAGGACAAGGATGTTCCCCACCCCAGGGCTGCTCCTGGCCCTTCTAGTCCAGGCTGCCAAAAATTGGCTTCCTTTAAGTGTAAAGGCCACAGTTAAACTGTGAAAAACAGGAGATGGACTTTCTCATTAAGAAGCTGTTTGACAGCTACTGTCTCTGCTCCAGGCTGCAAGCAGAAATTTAACCTCCGTGCTTCAGCCTCACAGAGTGCAACACAGAGATAAACTGACATCGTCCTGGCAGGGAAGATTAATTAGTGAATGCTGAGAAAGAGCCTATGAAGAGCTGAGATCTGCTAATTATAATATCACATTTGGTAGCCACACCTCCAGTGTATTTATATCTCAGTTTAACCACAGGTCAGTGAGACACGAGGCACCAGGAGATATGAGTGATGAAACGACACTCCCTCCCATGCTGACCTGGTGGTGATGTCTGAAGGTTCACAGGCTGGTCACCAGGCTCAGCTGTCTGACCTTAGGTCTGTGCAGTGCAGCCATGGGGCTGTTCCCTAGGACTAAGAAAGATATTCAGACAACCACCTCAACAAGAAGTCTGGAAGAAAGGTAATTTTCAGGAAACATCGAGGTAACAGTGTGGGATGGAAATACTCTTGCAGACATGAAGGAAATGGTCCATGGTAACTATCCATTCTGCTACTCGTGGGCTCCCCAATGTTCAACATGTGTAACTGAAAATGACTCTTTAAAATGCTCATCATCGGATTTTTTGGATTTTTTTCCACAGCAACAGGAATGATAATTTCCATTCAAATGACATTTTTTTTTTCAGTCTATTATGCATCATTAATATTCCTCTTCTTTCTTCTCTCCTCCCACTTTTGCATGAAGTGACAGAGGTAAAGGAGAAAAACCCAAGCTGCCAAACTAAACTCAAAGATTTTATTTGTTTTTTTGACAAAGCTTGAATGAAACACAAGATTTTTTTATTGTATTCCTAGAATTTAAACCACCAATTTTTACTTTAGGGAATGCATAACCTATCTTCTTTTAAAAGTCCTTTCCCCATGTAAACATATTCCAGAAACCTACATTGAAGATAACAAAGGAAGTAGATGTTAAATTGTGTTATTTAGTGATACATAGTATTCTTTGTGCAGGCAGAGATAACTCCAACATCACACAAAGTGATTCCTGACGTGTCAAAAGCTGTTTATTTTGGCAAAAGTTGGAATGTAGCCGTTGTGATTTTTTGCACAGAATTGAA